ATGATATGAGGTTTCGAATGTGTGCGTACATGTGAATTGCGTTAGGTTCTTAGCATTATAAAAGGTTGAAAAAGCCCATCCATTTAATGTTTTCATCTCTCATAATCTATGAGTTTTTATCTAAATTAGGTGCTCATATATTGTTGTCTATGTTATACAAAAACAAATGTAATATTAAATGAATTTTGGGTTAGAAGTTAAGGTATAGTATCATGACCCAAACTTCGGTTAATTCGTGATCTAATAACAAAACTCGGCGGACGTATGATAAGGTAAGCGTACACCCGATGTACACTATATATTCCTAAAGTTATTTAGTGTTAGTGATTTTCCACTTCCTACATGTTTTGCTAATAATGACATAAACTGTTATAAACCGGTTATACCACCAGACTAACCAGACCGCCTGCCAAACATGCATATGGTATAAATCGGTTCGACAACTTTGATTTCGACTGAAAGACAACCAATCTCTTTTAGGGGAGCTCAAACGGAGTGGTTACTGTGATAACCGCTTTAGCCGGTAGTATTTGAATAATTTAGATAAGTTAATTTGGATAGTTTGTTTGATTTGGTTAAACTTTTACCTTGTGTGGTTTGGTTTCAGACACTCTTAACCTATCAAACCAACTAAGCAAATAGCCACATATCTTATGTATCATATACCATATCTAATATGGATAACCACTAAAAGAGTCAAATGTTTGTGTCCTTATGATCCATAAAAGAATGAAACTTGTAGTTGAATCTACACTATATAACTCCCCATATATATATATTTGTTCTTGTAGAGTGTAGACAACAACACATTGAGCACCTAATTTATATAAAGCTCATAAATTATGTTGGATGAAAACCTGAAAGAGAAGAAAATTTTCAACCTTTGATAATGTTAAGAAACTAAGACAACTCACAGAAATATACTCAATTCATCAATTTCATACCATTTACATATATTTTTGTAGGTGACTATTTCTAATGATTATAAAATAATTGCATTAATCGCATATACTTATGCCAAGAATTAACTATATGTTGATTGTTATATTTTAATTGTTGTATTAGTTGTTATATTATAATCGCATATAATTGCATTATAAAATAATTGCATTAATCTCATATACTTATGCCAAGAATTAACTATATGTTGATTGTTATATTTTATTCATTATATAATTGATGCATTATAAGAAGATTTTGCCCTACATAATGATAATCCTATATTATATTAGTTACCAATCAACCAAACCGTCAAAATTTAGTTTGATTAATTTAATTGTTGTATTAGTTTATCGATTTGATTATATGATATTATATTTCAAAATTAAACTTAATTAATTTGATAATACCATTTGACACTCCTGCATAGTCCATGAAACCGTACCAGAGATCGTATCGAAAAAGTCAATGGTAGAGTATTTTATAACAAGACCGTGGTTTAACCGTAGTTCAACCGTTAATATCGTTAAATACCGCCTACTGGTTTAGCCTCTAAATTCTAACTAGCTTTTACCCGACCCGTTGGTCGGATCAATTTCATTATATTTCGTATAATTTATTTTATCAATATTTATGATTTACTTGATTTGGGATCTTTAATTTTATATGATTCACGAAAAATATTTATGGTTTTAAGAGTTGACAATGACTTAAAAGGATAGTCCAAGCTATTATATTGACCAAAATATCAAATATTTGAAGTATTTATTTGGAATTTTATTAAATAAAACACTTGTTGATTCAAATATACAATCGTCTGTCGTGAAAGTGGGATTTTATGAAAAAAGATTCATGACTTCATAAAGAAAGAAAACCAATTTGATATTCAATAACAAATGTGAACATCGTTTGGATTATATATTTCAGTTATGTATTTGGTATCTAAATTCAACACATGCGAGATTTGTCTAACTCCTAAATTTGGAAGTAGGTGCTAAAACTCTTTCCCTTTCTAATATCTAAGTATTGCATTTAAATTAGAATTCTAACCAACCAAAATGAAGAACGCATTCAGGTAAACTTCATGGTAAAGAGAAGCAGGAAACTAACAACATATCCATATTAGTTGGAAGGTGAGAAAACGTCATCAACTAACCAAGAAAGCACTTCTTTGTTGAAATCATAATCATTTCTTCGCATGATGAGGAGATGGTCCCATGGTGGCTGGCCAACGCTAATAGTGATAAGCAATTCTGGAGTTCAGTTTTCAATGTCTTATAATTATTTACGGAGCAAAATCAAAAGGTACCAGTAAAACATCTTACATCCATCATCAAGGCAAAAACAATCAAGCTAAATTAGAAATCAACGTCTTATGACTGAAGACTAACCAACCACTACAACAATGACATAACATCCATTTTCAGCCAGACAAAGAGGTTTCTAAAAGCTACTAAGCCAGATAATCACTTAGTAAAGGAAAACTAACAAACCTCGTGATTAAGCAAGGCACTTTGCGGACTGCAGTGCATCTACACAACATACAAAGCCATATCCCCACCAGGGTTACGTAGTGCAAAAGAGCCCCATATCGTTCATACATAGCTTATTCTTTGTGGAGAAGAACTTCCCCATAAAAGGTTATTTATTCTATCTTCTTCTACCAACTATGATTTCAGTATAACCATGTATGAATAGAAAACCAATGAAATTTCATAAGGAAAAAAAGAGTACCTGAGTTTTGTAATTCTGAGCTCCTCATTCGACCCCTACATGTTAGACGGTCAATGGCTCGCCTACTCTGCCTTGACCTGATCCGTCCTATAGATCTTCTCTAACAGATCTGATCCATCCGTCAGTCTAATCGTGAGCACTCTTCTTTTCGTCAAACCCTAGTTGAATCCACCTCGGTTTCAATGCTTCGTGTCTCCATTGGCCACGAATCAGGCCGATTAGAGCGAGACGGGGTCGAGGAATGGCGCTCGGTGATTCATTGGAGCTACTTCAGTCTCAGTTGGCCACCGCTACCGCTGCAACTACTACAGATACTACCTGGCTAGAGCAGCATCCAAGCACTACGACCAAGGAGACCCCCACTTTAGGCATTACACACACACACAGAGCATTACTACCCACCACCTATCTCCATATGCCTACTGTTCTGGTTCTTCCTTCTTACTTCTTAGCATTCTCTAAGTAATTGTATGATGGCAATCATAACAATTAATTCCATTACAAAGGCCAGGCCAGAAGACACTGTGATTATAGAATTAGAACGATGAGACTACTTGCTAAAATTACCCTTAAGAATATGATAAAACTGTGCACCTTCATGATGTTGGATATAGATGCTAGTATAGAGAGTAAAGCACGTGAAACCAAATAGTAACCCATATTTCTATGCAGAAATACTAAAGGTAATCTGCATAACAATGACAGTTGGATTTGAAGTAACACATTCAACACCGAGCATCCCCTCCTTTCCAACAATAAAATTGCCATGGAATGGCTACTCTAATCATTTCTAATTCACACCAAAATATGAAACTCTCCACTATCAATAATACACAGAAATATAAAGTGTAAATTGTACAACACTCGAAAACAACATCGCACCCCATCCTACGAACAGGGTGAAATCGAGGAACTAAACCAAAAATCACAGCTCCGAATTCAAAACAAAGGGAGAGAAAAGACGTACCAGTTGAGGCCGAGCACCTACTCAGCTTGATACCGAGTAACCATCTCGAATACGGTATTGAAAAGGTGTCCATTACTGTCGACTCCTGGAGACGGGTTTGAAGACGATATGCATAGAAATCACACTGCGTTATCATTTTATCTCCAACACGGATATTAGAGCTATTGTGACTATAGCTAATGCAGGGATGCCACCCATCCTCGCCATATGGGAATAAAATTGGATATTGTAATGCCATCAGACTTGGATGGTATACGCTAATCCTTTCCATTTCTAAACCCTTCTGTTGAACAATTATATCTGGAGAAAATGATTGCTCTCCTGTTTCATCTACAATCAATGCTGCAATCTCATTCGCAGAGGGCAAATCATATTCTCTACTATTAATTTCACGCTTAGCCAATAGTTTCAGTTGAAGCTCCTGGACACCAGAATTTTGTATCCTATCTCACGCAGAACGAAATGTACGTACCAGGATATTATTGTCATCAAACATATGCTGGAGGCCTTCAACAATATATTGGCGCAACGAATTCTTGGCAGGATCAGTGGAGTAAAAGTCCATACGATTCTGGACCTCGTTATCCGAATCGTGAATGTAAAGCTGTCCATATTTCGGACTATCCCCATCACCAGGAACCAAACATCCTATTCGATGATAAATCTGACCACTGATTGAATATACATAAACTCCACGACCATCATTAATAGAGTGATTGACTTTACCTCCGAAAGAAATAAAGCAAAAAAACCCCATTATAGGCTCTGATGTTAGTACGAAAGTGACGCGCTAATGGTGTATCCCCTTCAAGTAGAGTTTTAAGAAATTCGGGCACATCTCTGCGGGGAGGCAATTTCACTTTACCATGTTTGCAACATAAAGGAAATGCAGGCAACACATCATTCCGTGTAGATAAAGTACTCTCGAACCGCCACATAACTGCTCCACAATGTTGACACGTACATGAAGGTGGACCAATATCAAAAAATTCAACCAACGGAAGACCTAGTGAAATAGATAAGTAATATTAATAAATTTTTGTCACAGTAATTGATAAATTGAATGAGTTTGAGAAACTGTCAAGCTCATGTACTCGCGCTACATTAAACACAATTATTAAAACAAATGTTTTCAAGGAAAGATAGAATGGTATACTTCTCATTTTAAGTAAGAATAACTAAAATTTAAGGAAACACTAAATTTTGTTCAAAACACACAAATTTGTCGTTGACACATCTAAAAACAATCCACTATTTGCATAAGGTCACATGAAGCGTACATCACTAAATTATATACATGACATAAATGGGTACATTATATGTTGTAAGACCAAAATAGGGAACAAAATATGTTGACCAGAACCCTAAAACATATATCCAATGTACAAAAATTGATCCAAAATATAGATGAACCATGTCATGTATAACAGTGCCCATTAGAATCCACATACTTTGATTGACTTCTGTAGGAAAGAAACTTCGGCCACGTCTCTTTCTATGCGGATGAATACGTCGAAGTAATCGACTTTGCTTTTGTAATAGAAATATAAACTGAGGCTCCCAAACTATGAACAACACCAAAACAAATAAGTTGATAAAGAAATAAATAAAGAGTGAACAATACAAAATAGCCTAATATGTAAGACTTGCTACAAAATATAGCAAACAGCAACCTTGGTGTTCAAAAGGTAAGCCCCTCCTATAAACCTTCTGTTTCAAAATATGATGTCTTCTCTTACGGGCGACTTGGGATAGCATTCGCCGAAGTTGAGAGAGTTGGAATTGTAAGGCAGCTTCTTCTGCAGAATTTAAATATAAAACCATGTATTACTCATTGAATAGATGAACTAATTAGAAAAATTAAAACACAGAGAGCACACCTCTCTCAAATGCTTCTTCCTCTTCAGCAGATAAAACACAACGTTGGTACTGATCTTCAGGATGAATAAAAACTGCTCGACGTTTCCCTAAACAAATGAGATTCAAGGGAAAATATTAATGTCAATTTGCATTGAAACAGTTTCGTGCTAAACTATGACACTCACATGGTACAGACGATCGATAAATCTGTGGTTTGGCAGATGGGATGACATTTGCACTATCCATATTTAATTCTCCAATAACCTGACGCAATCTGAAATAGGATATGGTTGTTCACAAAATCAACTTATATGAAAAGGAACACGAAAAGTGAATCGACGATGCATAGACAAAGACATGATAACCTACCAATTCAAAGATCAGAGGCCAGAATACCTTAGCAGCTATGAAATTAGCATATGACAAACTCTTCAGCAAATTGGATGACAATCTGCATGCAGGGAAAGTATCAGGAAATTGTGTAACAATAAGGAACATGACAACATGAGAATTTGGGGAAGCAAATGGTACCCTACCTTTTCGATTCCTGGCCAGAATGCTGCTACCATTATATGCTCATGACCCGGCCAGAATCCTGGCCGCAAACATCACCGCACATATCATCTGTCTTCTTCGGGCAGTAATGGCCGCCATTCTCAGCCATGATCCACCATATTTTTTCTCTCTTTCTCACCCTAAAAAACAAACACATTCATAACCCACAAACCAAATCAAAGTAAAGCAATCAAATTTCCACTCCCAACACGACAACAAATAGAATCGAGCAGCTCAATGACTCCTCCTTCCCTCTCCTCGACTCCGTTGCTTTCACCCTCCACTGTCAAATTTTTCCCTCCTCTCTCCAAACACAGTAGGCAGATTTCTAGATTAGGCTTGCCTATCCCCCCAAATCCCCCTCCGTTTCTCCCCACCTCCCTCCACAGCGAGCCGCCCGGCGAAACGGTCGAGAGAGAAAAACTCAGATTGGAAAAGAAAAAGGGAAAAATAAAAAAACCCCTTTTGATCCCTAGAGAATCCAATCAACAGAATGAAGAGAAAAATGTAAGAGAGAGGAAAGAAAGCGGAAGGAACCAAAGCCAGCTCTATAAATTGGTGGCAGATGTCTCAATCTCCTCCCTTTCACCTTTCACCCTCTCTCTCTTTAATGTGCCTGCAATTGCTCTTCCATTTTCGTGAATTTCTTCTCTCTCTTAATAATCAGTAGAAAAGGTGGGCTTATTTCAGCCAAATAAAAAATAAATGCAAATTAATGACAAAGTGGGCTGGCAGGAGAAAATGTGGGTAGTGGACTCCTATTTTTTCTCCTGCGTAACCACCCTGCCACGTCAGACTCCTAAAATCACTCTATGCGCAGGAAAATTTGAATGGTGCTTGCAGTTTTACTTTTCAGCTATAAATTATACTGTTGATACTGTAAGTTTGTGGTTGAATCGCCAGTATGATACGATTTCATGCACCATACACTCGTGCTCTCCCTTCCCTCTGCTACCAAACCGGTCCGACCCCACTGCTGCCCCCAAATCATCACTTCACGTTCAAGAGCAATCGCTCACACTTTCAAGTTTCAAACTTCAAACACCCAAATTCATGATCTAAATCTAAGACCAACGATCAATCTGGAGGGAGAAGAAGAAGATGGCTACGGAGAGGCACGGTCATCCGGCTTCCACTTCTCGTGAAGACGATGCTCTGTCAGTCCTCCTCAATTCCGTCTTCTCTTTTAACACCTCACTCGCTCTGTCCAAATTCTCTCATGAAATTCTTGCTCTGTTTAGGTTCCTAGACATACTCCACGAAGCTCCTTTGTTCGGTCACCGCAAATCCAGAAGTCTCGTCGGCGCTATTCTCTACTCCTTTCTATTGGCAAGTTCAACCGCGATCTTATCTCTCAATTTTTCTTTCCTCTTTTGGTGGGTTTGGTTGATTTTTAAAGGTGGCGGAAAGGAAACGTGAGGCACCGTTACCATCCATGATTGTTGTTGGTATTTTTTGGGTTTAGGCAGGTTATGCTGTTCTTGGTGCTGCGGCTCCTTATTGCTTCCACTCTATCAAGAATTGGGTTCCTTCCCTGCTCTGCAGTTGTGATGTTGTTCTTCTGATCCTCACAGGTCTGGCTTTTCCCCCACTCACTCACTACTAGGTTCTTTCTTTATCTGGAAGTTTGGATTTTTTTGTTCTTCTTTTCTTATGATGGCCTAATGTGATTAATCAACCGCCGTGTCTGATTTGTCAATTGCACCCATCTCATTGAAAAGCCTTATGAAGTTCTCTTGGTGTATGATAATGTGTTCTCAAAGCAGTCTTGGAGTTGATGGTTTTCCTCTTTTTAGCTTAATGAGGGAATGCTTCTACCTTTAACTCGAAAAACTGAATTTTTTACTCTATCAGGGATATTCCAGCAATATTTTGTTTCACAAGTCCAGAAAATACGACTCCAGGTACTCTTAACACATTCCCCTTCACCAACTCGAGGTAAATGTAGTTCAGTCGTTTCGTTTCTATTTTTGGGATGCTGGTTGTGCTGTTGCTTAACAGTAAGCCAGAACGGATTCACTGTGTCCTGGATCCTATATAATATAATTGAAATGTACACTTCTGATTGAGTCATAAGCAAATTGGAAACCACGTCAAAATAAATTCAAGAACTTCGAATATCCTGTTATGGAAGTAAGGATTTTACCATCCGTTAAGAGTAAACATGTTTCGGAGTGATTGACTGGTTGGTTCCTCAATTTTGAAGCCATAGAAGTTAGCTGACAGAAATAGAATTAAGTCTTTCACATCCATCAATGCAATTGAAGTTTGTTGGGCTGCAGAATCATGGTTGCTCATTTGTTTTGTAGGGTTACTATAGTTTCAGCCAGAAGTTGAAACATATTGTCCGCCTTCCATTTGCTATCACTGCTTATGGTAAGTAGAAATATTCAATTTGTTACTTAGCCTACCACTAGGTTGAATCTGAAGAACATAATTGCAAGTTGCAACTACAATGTTCTCCTCTTGTGTAAAATTTTTTCTTTGGGATTTTCCTCCCTCTAGAAGATGGGATGTGGAAAGTGTTAGATCTATAGTAATGCCTTAATTCTGGTTTTCATCCCCTGAGTTTACTAGTTTGATAGGTTTCTTATTTCTAGAGCCTTCTTCTGTGCTACTCCTAATGTACAGTCAAATGTATGATTCACACTAAGCTGTTTGTCTGATGAATTTTAATAAGTTTAGGAACTGGTTTCATGGTGCTGGTCATTGTATGGGATCCTCAAATTAAATTCCTTACAATCCCTGCTTTACTGAGGTATGCCTTATCTATGTTCAATTTGAGTATAATACTTAATCTGCTTGTCACAAGGACATATGTTTTCCCCTACTTTCATGACTATGAGTTTTTTCACTCTCATGTAGAGATATTGTGCAACTTACTGAGAACATTCTGCCTTCACTGCAGAATTATCATGTTGGCTGAAGCAGTATGTGCTGCATCCTTTATGAGTGTTTATATCGGTTAGTTCATGCTGCTGATTTTTTGCCACACTCAGCTCTTAACTCTGTATGTCCTTGATTAGTCCTCCGGGATAGTTAACCATATTCCATATTCTAGTGTGAGACACTGTTGAGCTTTATATTGATAGCCTTTGTGGGTATTCTTTCTTTCTGTTATCTAGGTGAATCTCAAACAACATTTGTTTTTATTGAATTACGACTTGTTAGGAGGGGAAGAGAAAGAGGTCAATTTATGGGAAAACACACTGAAATGTTTGTTTTTTTTTTTTTGGTAATTGTGAATAATAGAATTAGAATCTAATGAGTTTCTTACATCCAAGTCTCATCCCAACTCTTTACTTGATATTCTTCGTGTATGTTTGGACCTTGCAGGCTATCTGCATCAGTACAATTCGATAAACTCTCAGCCTGATATTTTGAAGTCGTTGTATTCTCCACTTCAACAATCAAGCCCTTTAGAAGGTTTGAGGTAGTCATTCAGTTGCTTTAGATTAGCCTTAATGAAATGCCTTATCAGCACCATGCAAGTCTTTGGTGAAGTTGATGCAAGTTTTGCAAATGCTTAACCTCGATGATTATGTGGTCTGCATAGGTGCCTAGTTGTTTGGCCATGTTGCAGTTGTGGAACCAACTTGATTAGAATTTCAAACTTCATTACACGAATTCCTTACAATGAGAGTTGGGGACCAATTTCTTCAACAGGTACCAAGAAGGTGGTAGACTTTCTGATCAGCAAATGGCCCTGTTGCAATATCAACGTGAGAATCTACATTTTTTGAGTGAAGAGGTGGGTGTTACTGAAACCCTGAAATCGTTGGTAGATTATCTTTGCACCTTAGTTAGTGGCCCCCTGTTGGGGGCTGGTGTAATTAGTGTGATATAGTCGGTTGGTAGTTTAAATTCCTCTCCATCCCAAGACACTTCTCATTAAAAGATTATGATGATTCAGGTTCTACGTTTGCAAGAATGTTTAAGCAAATATGAACAATCTAGCAATGGGAGCACACCTCAGGTGATAACTATCCTAATTCCTTGTTGATTTCCTGGAGTGATTTGAATGGATGTATTCATTTTTTAGATGGCAATTAATGTACTTTCCAGGTTGACGTTGCACATTTGTTGGGTGCTCGTGAACAGGAGTTAAGGACGCTCACTGCCGAGGTAATGGATCATCAATATAGCAAGTGCTCTACCAGTTTAGTGGTTTGTATCTCTGTCAGTTTATAACTCTGGTCACTAAACAATCGCTCCCCCAGATGAATCAACTACAGTCTGAGCTAAAGCTTGCTCGGTCTGTGATAGCTGATCGGGAGTCCGAGTTCCAGAGGGTACGAGCTGCAAATAATCAGGCACGGATTTATCCTTCATAGCAATTAAGTAAAACATTCTTTTAATCTTAATTCACATCATGCTCATCTTGATTCTTATTTCATACCCATATTACTCAAAAAACAGTACGTGGAAGAGAACGAGCGGCTGAGAGCTATATTAGGGGAATGGAGCACTCGTGCTGCCAAGGTAATCCCTTAAATTTTATTCATTTGCAGAAGTTATACTCAAAAGACGGTAGTGCTTCCAAATTAAGTAAATTTGGCTTCCCTAAACCAACTGCTACCTGTGAATGTTTTGCTAGCTTGAGCGAGCTCTGGAGGCCGAGCGGATATCCAGCCTAGAAATGCACAAGAAGCTATCATCTTCTCCCAGAAATCAATTGAATCAGCATGGTTTATAACGTGCCCTATTACTGAACGAACAAGTTACAATCATCCTCGTGTGATGAACTCGATGTGGTTTACGGAACTAAAAGCACTTGTACATAGCCAAACATTGTTAATGCACTTTCAGATAACCATTTGTTTGTTCAGTGCAAATACTCATTACCAGAAGAGCTGTTTGCTGTCTTTACAACTCTCAACTAGCTGGAAGCCTCCCTCGATAGGGTTACAACTTACAAGTTACAAATATCCTAATAAAGTTTGAAACATTAAAATGTGGCTTTACAATCGGGAAACATTGTTCTCCTCACCCAAAAATAGACAACCAAAGACGTAATTGTAGAAGTCGCGTCCTTTGACTACATTTTTCGTTCCAAATAGATTCTCTGTATCATACTTGCAAGCTCTTGTACAGTCAGGACAGTAAGTGACCTGCATTCCATGGGGAAACCAACTTGAGCCACAGGGCAATCTACGCATTTCAATCTCTATATATGCATACCAAAAGGAAAACATAAGATTGATGATAGGAACTAACCTCCAATAACTTGGGCTGAAAATTAGTATCGAGCATTACATCTACGCCGTAAATTGCCCTGGATGTTGGACTGTGCATCTCAGGTTGGACTGTGGCAGCCGCCTCAAAGACAGATTTTATCATCATCCTTACTCTCTCATGGATATCCAACCACTGAACTGCAGGAGCGCAGAATAGTTCAAATATGTCAAGTCTCAACATCTCAATCCCATAACTGTGCCTAAATCTTTCTTAATGGCAAGAGAGAAATCTCCATACCATTATGTTCCTGTTCAAATTCCTTCACGAAATCAGGCGTGTTCTTGTGGTTTATCGTCCCTCGGTAGTTCTGCAGGCCATTTAGTTGATAAATCACCATAAAGGAATTAAAAAATTCACATGGTAATGATGCAAAGCTTTGACTTTGCCTCAGCATTCAGCTTCAACATTTGTTTTTTGTTTCCCGATGAATAGCTTCACATGAACATAAATAAATTGGAAGTCTTACACTTGGAACTTACCATGACAGTAAAATGAGTCTCATAGACGAACAAGCTTCGTTTCTCTAGTGTATACGGGTTATTTGCTAGCCTAACCTGAAAAATAGAATCAAAACAAACATTTAAATACAGGTATTTCACAGGAGGAGATTAAATGCCAGTCAAAGCACCTTGAGAACATTAACTGGGTAGCCCCTGCCATAAAAAATGATCACCAAAAGATAGTCGCATCTCAAAATAGGTGGAATTACTCACCCAGAAAACATCTGCGAGAAACAATTCCAGAGGGTTTATACTGCGAACCAGGACAACGTAACGAAGATCGAATTTCTTCCCCTGAAACAAGGCTGGGTGCTCGATGTATTTCTGGCATATTTTAGGTCCGGTCTCCATCATACGGATAATGGCAGACAGATTATCAGTCACAGTTGTATCAATGGTCCGTGCCATGTTCCATGGTTTCAAGATCCACAGGTTGTTCGTCCCATCTTTTTCACGGCTAAAGTAGTCACCTATAAGTGGAGACAACTGGGTTTCCAGATTATACGTGGGCTGCAACCATTCAGGAGATCCATGTGCCTGTTTGAAAGATGATTTTAAGCGTGCATGATTAGAAAGCTTGCTTGTCACAATTTTATGTCAATCTAGGGGAAGTGTTGCGTTTTTTATTTTAGAAAGTGCTAATGCTATCACTTGCACAAACAATGGTACACATTGTTTTTACTAACCTTCTGAACAGTATCAGCCAGATGATGTTTCATGACGAGACATGCCTCGAAGGGGAATTGATTTATTACTTGGCGCTCTGTGATTCCAGTTACTTTCTTCACCTCCTCATCTACTTGTGTACTTGTCCATATAATATCAGCATCCTTCATTTCAGATGCTGTAAGCAAAATAACACAAAGAATATCAGAGATAATTTTAAACACCAGGAATTTCAACAGGATGCAAGTCTTTTCCCCCAAGAAAACAAACAGAAATGATGAGGATAGAACCATAAAAAATTAAAATTGATGAGGATAGAAGTTGTTTTTGAGTCTGTGTCAATAAAGTGAACCCAATCACTTTGAACCCTCGATGCTCAAACTGTATGATAACTCAGGATAACCTATCAACGAGAATACAGGCCATATAGTAGATGCTTGTGTTCAAAAGGAGAAACCAAAAATTACTCGCTCATAAGTCAGTGAGGAAGCAGGAATAGATTACCAACTGAGCTGACTAAACTACAAATTCACAGATACAGAATGACGGATCAGAGGAATTTGAGAAAAGATGGAACATGACATACTGATTACAAATTCCGGACGGGTCAGAAACTCCTCTACTTGAGGTATATCAGTGTAGACATGTAAAGGTTCTCCATCACTACGACACAAGCTCCGGACAAAAGACGACTTCCCTAGAGAAGAAGGTAATCTCTTTGATTGCAGATTCTGACAGAATTTCTTGTACTCCTTCAGAGAGAAGAATGCAATCAATAATAGGTCAAGGGACAAGACTAATCCAGTATTCTAAGAAGCCAAATCAGAAAACTTTCAAATATATAATATATAGATTCAATACTTGAAGAAAGTAATTCTGTGGTGTATGGAAATATGCCGTTAGCCTTGCAGAACGTTGCTTGTCCTCTCCAATCCCAAATAAGAAATCACGAGTACACTCATCTCCACTATCAACATTACGGATTGACCATAGTATGGAGTAGCTGAAAAGAAAGAAGAAATGATGTTGACTAGGTCCACATTACTGAGAAGCAGAAAGAAGTTTAAATTTTTTTGTAACTAAGCCTATAATTAATATTGCACTTCCACGAAGTTCAATACTTTCCGTAAGGAAAGCATGAAAAAAAAAAAGAGGGAAGAGGACAGAATTGAGAGACAAAACCTCACAGCTGACTCCAGTGTCCCCTCTGGCATATAAAGGAAAGGGGCTACCCTGAAGTTAGGCTCATCACTGTGTCGCAAAGCTGAGCCCAGCTCATCCATTACATACCTGCAAGAATTTGGAGCAATACTACTTAAATCTTTACATATTGCAGTAGGTATGCAATCTGAGCATGTTTTTTTGGTTTAGGACTTGGTGCATGCGAGGAAGCTTACAATAAAGGCAATAGCTAATTAGCATTCCTTAAGATTTTCCACTCTTACAAGATCACCTCCATGCTTCTATAACCTTTGACATGCAAAGATCAGCTTGACAATTCCCAATATCATGTGCACATGAGATAGGACAGCTCTATTTCATTTTACAGATGATAGGACAGCTCTGTTCCATCCGAGATTTCTTACTTCCAAAATTTGAAATGCAAAACATCAATGGATCACAAACATGTCTCAACCCAAACTTGAAGTGTGATGCAACTAGTAGATATCAACCATGCATATCAGTGAAACAAAAAGTCGCGAATCACCTACCACACAGAAGATTCATCTAACTTTTCCTCATCTGCAAGCCTATAGGTCATAGCATATAACCACATGGCATTTACAACACGATCAACCACAGATTCTTCTGCTGTCCATTCCGGAAAACGTGGCTGAAGCATTGAATCAACCAAAAGCTTTCCAGTTTCAAATATCTTTGATGCCTTGACACCATTCAGTAGGTAAATATTTGGAAGAGATTCAGCAATTTCTACTGCATTGTCTCCAAGTGGGCCGGGTATATCCACCTGGAGTAGAAAAGGGGGAAAGAAATTAAACATTTTACATGTGACAACTGCTAGCATTTTCAGTTTTCCAATTATGCTGATGAGATTGCACAACGCTCTTAAGACGACAACAGCAGCAAGGTATGAGTTATGAAAGAGTACCTCAAGTGACTGCAAAGAGGGAAATCTCTTCAAGAGTGTGAATAGTTCACTAACAGAATCCTCCAATGGATTCCCACGAATATTCAAATGTGAAAGAAGAGGCATCTCGACCGGAGAAAATGGCTGTGAAAAGGAATCACAGTGAAGAAAAATCAACAAAAGCATTCGTCAAAAGAAAGCCATTGAAAATTACCAGTATACCCAATTGTTTGTTAGCAAGAATTCATTACGCATAAAGTTTCCGCGTTTATTGAAATTCCTAGGCGGAATACTAGAAGAAACCCATTGGAAGTTCCATCGAAACTGTTCACATGTTCGTTTCAGAATACCCATGAGCAGAGAAATTCTTAACCTTGTTCTTCAGAGAACGGATACATCTATCTGAAAGGTCAAGAGATGTTATATTCTTCAATGGACTTTCCCCCTGATGACCAAAGTCAGGATTATCTTTCCCATATACTCCACCACAAAATCCCAAGGCCCATTCACCATAATTGGGAGTGAAACGTGAGTTGTAGATTTCCAGTCCAGGGCATCCTTTAAGAATTTGCTGTTCCATTTGGACATCACTGAAAAAAGAAAAAGGCTTCAATTTTCTATCCTTGCAAAATAAAACTGAACCATTGACAATATAATAGCCAAACCTGTATTACAAAACATACCACTTCTCAACAGGATTATTGTTAAGCCAGAGGGCCCTTAGGCTTTTAAACTTAGTAACTTCTTCTGCCACTACTCCCACGTTCTTGAGCTTGTTTCCGCACAGGCTGAGTGCCAGTAAATCCTATCAGAAAACCATCAAAACAAATTAATAAATAATGTTTATTGCCTCATCGTAAATAAAAGTGAAAGACTTGTCTACAGAGCTTCCGAGGCCAAGAGACTCAATGTTCCTCAACAAGAACCATTCTAATCACTTAAGTTATCATATACTTCAATTCAACTATCACGCAATGTCTCAAATGGAAAATACCTCACTCTTCATTTCTAGTCCTGCACTGTTACAGTGATCAAACTCTTCAAATGATCACGAATCCAACCATGTGAATGGAATTCAAATAGAACAGATGAGCAGGAACAGCAACAAACCGGAAATTTACTAGTCAGTTCGAGAGAAAGCAGCATATCATCATCAATATCCATCTCCTCAAGCTCCAACCACCTAACAGTGTCGTTCCCTTTCTCTTTCGCTTCGCGAATTTCATTCTCGACCACATCTGCAGCATTCAACTTGAAATTCTCCTCTCCAACCCCTTCTGTCTCCTCAGCATCCGATGAATTCAAATCAATATCAACGCACATCAGAGCAGCCATTCTCTGAGCCAGCCCTGGCAGTTCTAGAAGCTGCAAGGACGCCCTCATTCAAACTTCAGCAAGGAGAGAATTGAAAAGGAAAGAGCAGTCATTCGCATATGAAAGAAAAAGTGAAGGAAAACTTCACCTGATTATAAGCATCCGGCAGACGGAAAGTCCAGGCGTGATCGACTAGGAAGACGTCGGATTCTCTGGGCAAGGCTCCGGCTGTGAGGACGAGCCGCCGCTGCCGGCCTTCCTCACAGGGCTCCACTTGGAAGTAAGCGCCGCCGTCGAAGGTCTCCGAACTCAGTTTGTCGAATAGCCTCCGGTGCAGTGATCGAGGGAGTCCGGAGGCCGCTAGGAGGACGCCGTGAACTTTCACGAAGTCCTCGTAGGTCCGTGGCGGCGCGGCGGCGGGCATATTTTTGGCCGTTGGTGGTAGAGTATAGCTTGGCCGGGGTTGAGCTGAGTTGAGGATTGAGTGAGAGTGTAAAGAAAGTAGCAGAGGGCTTTTGTGAGGGTTTTCTGTTCTAAAAGCCTCCGGAAGAATCTCAACTCTATACAAGTACCTAATGTTTATGTCAACTTGCTCTTCAATCACCATGTTTTGGAGATGTCCGACTTAGTCCTCACCTTTTTTATTTATTCTTTTAGAGCCCTTATTTATTTATTTATTTATTTATAAACATACATGATACATGTATCATATTATTACTTTTCCTTAGAAAAATGTATATAAATCCTACTTTGTCAAGGAAATTAAAAATAAAGCGCGTTTATTTAGCCAGATATCGGTTCCATCTCATCTACATACATTGATATGAAATTGTTTGTAGAACTGTAGTAAGTGAGATAAGCAAAGTAAACTAGAATGTACTCGAGTAATTGTATGAATGAATTATTTAGGAGTTGGTAAACCTCAGAGAAATTTTAGTCTAGACAACGATTTCTCTCTTTGAAACCAACTATGCTTTTTTAATTGTGTGCTTTCTGGATTTGGTAACAGTAGAACTAAATGGCAACTTCCAGTCTTCCACCACAATCAATGTTAGACATTAGTTGACAAACGAACTCTATGTAGGTGCACTTCGTTTTTGCCCAATATGTTTGATCTTCTCATACACAGTTCTTAGCTCAGATAAATCATGACCCTGACCTAGCAATTTGACCACAAGCAATCGTAGTCTGTTTCCACCTCTGAGAGCATGAGTTCACAATCTGGTATAAGGTGGATTCTAACCAATATAGCTTTCCTTGTGCTAATTCACATATTCACTATCCCTATTATTAGGATGCAATCTAAGTGCCGCATAGGCAAATTAAGGAAAATTACGGTCGTGGATTTTGGCTTGAAGGGAGGATTGTTGATGTACAATCCAAGTACCAAGGGGGAAAAGAAAGTTCATTTATATATAGGTGTCCACCCATCTCCATTAGTACATAATTATGGGAAGGTGCCCACTAACAAATTCCAAAGGATTTGCTTCAAAGCGAACAATATCATACTAATATGGAGTGTCCGATATCACCAAGTGGTATCAAAACTAAAGGATGTTATATTTTAGATCCAAGGCGGTGGACTACAAGTATATGGAAGATGAACCCTCAATATGCGACCTCACAACTGGATATCTGTTGTGGTTCCATGTGTAAAAAAGATGATTGGCTTATCAAATGGAGATGTTGTTTGGTTCCTTGTGTTTGAGATGTTTAGCGATCCAAGAAGGTAGGCATATCAAATATTGGATTATGGTAGGCACAACGTTTGTGATCCTTAACTTGAATGGATGATAGTTGGGGGTGTAATTAAAGTAACATATCAGATAAAACAAGAGAATACTTCCTTGTATATAAGTTTCCATCTAGTTTTATTAGTACGAGGTATTTCAAGAAGGTTCCCGAAAAAGTGCATGTGAACCTGGCCCAAAATAGATAAAATCATACTTTCCGATCCCAAAAGATGCACATCACATATTAATGTTTCGAAGCCCGTACTAAAAGATCATAACAACAATAGTTGCCACATAAGAATTCAACTTCTTATTGCAGTTTATGTTATACAAACTCATATAACCATCTTTGATGGTTTAACATAAGCTCTTGGATCCAATATTTAGATAAAGAAATGAAAAAATTTCATCGAAATCAATATTGAAGAATATGGTAGTATAGGCAGTTGTCTTTTGTTTTACGTTGGTGTTAATTTTCATTGGTAGGATATAATCCAAGTATCACATCGGAGATACAAGAAAATGACATTTTTTATATCAGTGTCCACTTAATGCCATTAGTATGATGCCTTTTGGAAAGAATCCAAAAGTACATTCGTGTAGACTGGGTCTAAAGTGGACAATATCATACTAATGAAGCATTCGGTCTCAAAAAAATGGTATCAGAGCGTGATTTCGAAGTTCATACCAAATATGGGGCAGTGAGTGTCAGTTTGCTAGACCCTCATTCTGTGACCTGGGGATTTTTTATTCACATATGGAAAATCTAATGGAGATATGCGTCTCTCTGGCAAATCAATGGAGGTTTAAATATGGTAAATCCTTGTACAGAAAATTTTATGGATACAAGGTGCCTAGTGGATCAAGATAATCGCAGAGTGGAGGAAAAAAGTTTGTGGTTCTTGTCTTGAAGGAAAGATTGTTTTGGTGCAATCCAAGTACCACATCGAAAATGCAAGGAAAATAATCATTGTATATAAGTTTTCACCTAACCCATTAGTATGAGGTCTTTTAGGAAAGAATCCAAAAGTGAATCCATACAGACTTGGATCAAAGTGAACAATATCTTACTAATGGAGTATCTGGTTTCAACAAGTGGTATCAGAGCCTGATTTCAATTTGTGGATACAGACGATGGAGGTTAGTTTGGTGGACCCTCATTTAGACATTCAGTGACCTCAAAAATTGAGATTCGCGTTTTTTTCTTGAGGAACAATTGAGATATGCATCTGTGTGAGGATCAAAGGTAATATGCATATGGGAAATTCTTGTGTTGAAGAGCCTTTCGATACAATGTTTCTGGTGGATCAAGATAATCGTTGAGAGAAAGAGTCGTTGTCCTTATCTTAGGGAGGAGTTTTAGATTACAATTCAAATACCACATCGAAAGTACAAGAAAAATGATCATTGTATGTAAGTATCCACCTAGACCCATTGGTATGAGACCTTTTGTTAAGGAATCCAAAAGTAAATTCATGCAGACTTGGCCCAAAGCGGGTAATATCGTACTAATGGAGCATTCAGTCTCAATATTCTTATAGTTGAGAGAGGTGAGATTAATTTGAACAACGCAAGTAGTCTATTATCCTATGATATTAGTTATCATTTTCCACTAAATGACACGATTAGATGATTATAGAAAAATTGATCACTACAAACTACTCCTACAAAGACCAAGTGTAACTAATGAAAGAGACTACAGTACAGTAGTACAACAATAAAATATTGAATTCATGGATCTCTAGTTGTATATTACTCTGCTTCAGTTTATTATTTATCAGATCGGGTTGAGATTAAACAACTATAACTACTCTAGCATACTATAGAAAAATGTTAATCTAACTAATTACATTTTAGAAACTCACTCAGTTATTGATTCCCTCACTAGCTGAATTAATGATTGAAGATTCTCTAACTTGTTTCATTATTCATTCGTAATGTGAAAAGTCTTTAATAAGTCTTGAATCTCAATTAAAGCAAACAACACTCTTGCATACACTGCTCAGAGGGAGATTATCCCCAACTAAGACAGAAGACCAAGGCAAATTAGAACTAGACTTCCTCTATTCAGCAAGACTCTCACCCAATACAAAGCAATGAATCGACTCACTCTCGTGAAATCGATCCCCTACTTTCAATCTATGGTGCCCTATTGACCTAATAAGGTATTATATATCTTAATATAGATTAAAGCATAATCGAATCGTAAACATGCATAGATTGAATATGAATTCAAGATCAACAAGAAAGAGTAATCAATAATCATACAATCATCCAATAAAATATAGCATAGCTAGGGTTCCTCAAAACTTAAGTGAAGGGAAGTTACTCCATAGAGAAGAGAGAGAGAATACATATGAGAAGATGAAAAACTTCATTGCGGTGATGATATTATTCTTCTGATCGGTAATATCCACTCCTAAGATTGATTCATGGATCCAATGTCGAAGAAATCCTCCAAAATACCTCAAAGAATGTTACCAAATCGCTTTCTCTCATAAGATTCATTTCTTCGGTGTTTGAGACCCAAAAAACCAGCTCCCCTGTTCAGAATTTACAGAAATCCAAATATACCTGTATGAGTCAATGTTAGGGGCTTGATGTTGAAGGTTCAAGTCGTGATATCCAAAAATCATTGTTTCATTAAGTGGGGAATGTCACAACCTAATGCCACAGTTAGGTTGTGACATTGAAGGTCAGGTCGTGACATTGGGAAGTGATTCTGCCTTTTTCATCAATTTCACAACATAGGAGAAGATGTCACCCCCTGGATCGTGACAATGGGGCGAACTCCCCTTTTCGTCCCATTTTGACCTCCAAACGTCCCAAACTCACTCCTAATCTTCCTCTAACTGCTAGGGCCTTAAATACGGGGAAAAGATCTCAACCAAGCATGAAATGGGCATATGAAAGAGTACTTTCAAACCAAAGGAACAAGAAACTCTCAAAATACAAGGGGGGAAACATGTATGATTAAGGTCGCATCAATCATTGCATCGATAATATGCATCGACAATAAAAGAAACTATGATAAGACCAAGGCGACATCTTCTAGTTTAAGTTGTATATCATAGTTTTAGAGACGACAAAACAACTATTTTCATCGATTCCATCAATTATTGCACATTTGCAAGTTCTGTTGACTTAAACATCGTACTTTTGATTCATTATAAGGATGATAGTCAAATTAACTACTTGTACGCTCTCAACTATTTACTTTGCTAAAATAAATTTTCAGATATTCACGTTTCATTTAGACATGGAAGGAAATTGAAAGAAAAAAAAATCTTAAGATGATTTGTTGCCATTCAAACCAATGTCAAAGTTATCCTGAGTAATAATGATCTTTCTCATATACAGATAAATTTGAATATGATAAACAAGAAATTTCATAATGGTATCCAACTAATATTGCTTACAAAAACTTTGTGAATGACCATAATTATTCATTTCGCCTAATATGACACAATTTCAACTTATGGAAACTTCATATAAACAACTCACTATATAAAGATAATAACACTCCATCAAATCATCTAACTTGTATTGGAATCTGCAAATTTTCATTACTGTTGCTCACAACCCGAAAAAGGTACGATATGAATTTAAACCAAACAATCTCTTCCATCAAGGGATGAGGGATTAGTCCTAGTACGCAAGCTTTTCCATTTTACACAAATTATATTATTGATTTTTTCTTATTTCACCCTTCGATTCAAACACCTTATTCACGCCATTTCATAATAGTTATCTGACGTGTGTAGAAAATTTTGACTTATTTCTCTAATTGTCTCTTAATTTGTTCATAGAATCTATTGAATATTATCATTACAGATTCCAACATTTTGAATTTACATATACTAATTACTATCAC